AGTAAAAGTTTATAGAGAGAATGGATTGATAAACTTTGTATATTCTTTTACAATGAGAATGAAAGGAAATTTATACAGATAAGGAATGTTCTGGATCTTTGATCTCAGCTGTACAAGTGAAGAAAAGAGATCAATGGTGATCCAAGAATTAAGGAATGACACAAGGTGGTCCAGCAACAAGAGAGAGAGAGAGTGGTGGCTAACTGATGCAACTAATTCTGTGATGACGGTGTGAGCCACTCAGTTGTTAATTTTAACATCCGCCCTCAAGCTGGAGAGGGGGAATTGACACTCCAAGCTTGTCCTTAAGATATGCGAATCTTGAGTGAGAAAGACCTTTAGTCATCAAGTCAGCTATCTGGTCTGCTGTGGGAACATATCTAACTTCCAGTTCCCTTGCAAGAACTTTATCCCTTATGAAGTGAACATCTAATTCTATGTGTTTCGTTCTAGCATGGAAAACAGGATTAGCTGCTAAGGCTCCAGCGCTGAGGTTATCACACCAAATGATTGAGTTTGAGGTTGACTGCATCTTGAGTTCTTCAAACAAAGATTGTATCCATGCTATTTCAGACGCTGCAGAGGCAAGAGCTCTATATTCTGCTTCCGTGCTTGATCTTGCAACAACGTGTTGCTTCTTAGATGACCAAGATACTAGGCTATCTCCTAAGTAGATACAATATGCTGCCACTGATCTTCTATCATCAGGGCATGATGCCCAGTCAGCATCTGAATAACCAGTTATCACTAGATTATCACTCTTTTTGATCCACAATCCTTGGTTGATTGTGCCTTTTAGATATCTTAATACTCTCTTCATGGCTTGCCAGTGCACTGATGTTGGTTCTTGTAAGAATTGACTGAGTTTGTTGACGGCAAATGTTATGTCTGGCCTGGTATGTGACAGGTATTGGAGACCTCCAACTGCACTTCTGTAGATTGATGGATTTTTCAAAGGTTCGCCTTCTGTCTTGGACATGGTTTTTCCAACTGCACTTGGAGTAGGACAAGGTTTGATGTTTTGAAGATCAAATCTCTTAAGTAAGTCTGATATATACTGTGATT